ACGCAAGATGGCACCTTTCGTCGCCCCAGATGACGTTGACCTGGAGGACGGGGACGACCAGGGCGGCGCCGAGAATCCGAGCAATGACTACCGCGTCAACGATCTGGTTCCGCTGCTGGTTGAGCCCGCCGGAGACGACCACCAGGAGGTACTTCTTCCGGCGGCCGGCCCGCGCCGCCGCCTCGCCTTCCGCCCGGTACTGCTTGCTGAACTTGAGACATGGCACGAACCCCATCCCGTCCGGCTGTCTCCAGAACTCCCCCCGCGCCTCCACCCCTCCACCGACGCCGAGCGCGAGCTCCTCCGTCGAATCCGCCGTAGAGAGCGGGCCGCGAATGAGGTGGGGGCAGGGGAGGAGCGGGTCGAGGTCGTGCCAGACCCTCAATGTGCCGACTCCCGCGAAGAGGAAGAGCAGCAGGAGGAGGAACTTGGTGCTGCGGGCGAGGAGGCGGTGGCCGGTCCGAGAGACCTTCTTGGGCGGGGAGATGAGGAGGCTGTGCAGCGACGTGGAGGAGAGCGAGTGGATAATCTGCGACGGCACTGCGATATACGACAACCGCCTTCCATTCGGCCTCGTCGCCATCTCTTCCTCTCCTTCCTCTTCGACTCTTCTTCCGCTCCTCTTCTTCTTCGTCATCAACTCTCCCCCCTCCTCTGTTACGTTGTTGTATGTAGTAAAAAGGGACACGTTACTTTCTAATAATGAAGCGGTAAAGAAACGTTGTGGGCGGCGGGAAAGGGTAATTACGATCACGTTCAAGTAATCACGATTATTACAGAAACGTGGCTCCCACTACGTCCCCATTAAATGACCAAAACGCCCTTCCGTTAATCCCCTCGTGGGTGAAGGGTAGTTTCGTCATAGTAAAAAGGCACCCTGACACGTGTCGAGATAAGAGTGGCCAGCTTTCCAAAAGCCAATCCGGCACGTGCCTGCTACGCGTTCGACACTTGGGTGTCGGTCCTGCGGCAGAACACGTGGAAGCGCTGTTGCGTGCGTGGGGCCGGTCCAGCTACTGGCCAGCTGGACCAATCGTTGGAGCCTCAACTCACGCTACGTATCAACCGACGCAACGCGATGCTTGCGGACTCTCACATGGAGAGAAGTTGACCTGTAAAAGAGTCCAGTAGTGGCAATCTGCGGAATTGCTCAGCGGCGAAGACAATACAAAAGCTTCGATAAGGCGAAAACAATGGCGATGGGAGGGGGTGTTGAATTATGTAGCTCCATTATTACAGCTCACGGGTGGATAAGAGAAAGCAGCAGCAGCAGCTCAATCATTGATTTGGTAGCACACATGGGATTAATCGATTGGGACTAGCAGAGGAGGCAGACGACGAGGCCAGTAGAGGTAGAGGTAGAGGCATAGGTGGGGGCACGCAGATGCCGCCATGGAGAACATGGGTTGGTGTACGACTACAGCTGCTTGACGCGACATCATTCTCTTGTCTCCGTCTTCATTTTGTGCCACATTAATGAACTCGGACGGATTAAATTATAAGACGTGATGAGATGTTGGGTTGGAATCTTTGTATTAATGAAAGGTTATTGCAAGTCTATTAATATAGTGTTTGAAATAGTATAATTACTCTTATAAATTCAATATATATATATATATATATACACGTATTTCTCTCGTTAATATAATGGATGTCTCCGAAGACTCGATTTTGATTGTAATTTATTAGATCTTATCTTTTTTTTTTCAATCTTATTATCTTTGAAGTTAGAAAAAAGTTATGAAAAAATCGATGTTGAAATGACTTATGATTAAGAAGATTAACATGATGTTCGACCAAACTAGATATTCACTTATAAAACATCAATCTAAACTCGAGATGATTTAGTCGGAGATAAAATTTTATCCGTGTCTAATAAAAGATTTAATTAACTAATTATATTTAAATGATTTGTAAGTGGAATAAGATCTTTTTTATATTCAAGTTAAATTAAATTCTTATGAAAATAAATTATCATTCAAATTAAATTCATATAATAAAGAAGATAATAAGACATAGTATAGAGATCCTTGTTTCTTAATATTTTCTTAATATATCGTACTAACTCAACAGTCCATTTATCATATCGATATTTCCAGTGAGTCTTATGTCTAGAGTTTTGATTGACAGTGAATAACTATTGGCTATGTTGAGTTGAAGAGATATTTAAATGTCTCAAACATTATTAGGATTCTAAAAATCATAATGCCCTTAATGTTTTAATTTATGTTATTAAAGAATATTAAAAAGCTACTATTTAGTATTGCCTTGCATATATTCTTAATCTAATGGATGGAGTGGCTCAAAGATGGAGGCATAAAGTTTTATGCTACCACTGGGATGTAAACCACAAGCCTAAAATCCTTCTTTGCCAACAAGAAGCATAGTTACTGCTACAGAACCAAGGAACTGTTGATGGTGTCCAATGGTGGTTTACCAGTGCTTATCAAAAGTTGGTGAGAGGTAGGCATCAGGGGACCTGTCCCTCCATAAATGACTCTCATCTCTCACAAGTAAGAAAACAAGGAGAAAAAAGGATGGTCTTTGGTGCATCATTAGGTCAACTTCCCTTGGACTGTGATGGAGGGCAGCTCATATGACACACAAGTTTTCAATGCCATGAAGTGATGGCCCATCTCCCAAAAAACATGCAGCACTTTGTCCATGCATCAAACAAAAGATGCTGTGAGCTGCTTTTACTTTGCTTGTCCGCCTCCTTCAACCTTGATGAAGGATGATGAGATGCTCCTTCAAACCTGGGTAAATGCTGCAGCACATGAGATGAAAGCAAAAGAGTTGCAGGCTTTAAATAGTGTCATTTGTCTACCCATAATCTTACTTGGAATTGCAGTCTAGCTTTTCCTCATTCCTAAACAACCATCAATGGAGCTGCCCATGGTTGCATGTTCTCTTCCAAGTTGTTCAAGCAATCCCACACCTCTGGATATTTCTCTCTCTCTCATATATATATATATATATATATATATACATAAACTAATGCATTGAGTTGTATGTGCTTGCAAGTTGGTCTTCTTCCATTGTTGGAATGGCAGAATCAGATTAGTTGGAGATGACTGTATCCTTCATCGTTTAGCCAAATAAATATCCTTAATTAGTTTGCAGATATAGGAGTTTACTTCAGTCATACTTAATTCAACATGGCTTCCACTACCAACAGTTGACATATACCTTCTTGAAGGTAGTTGAAACTAGAGACATCTGAGAGAATTTGATCATGCAATTGCTTGAAGTATTTTGCAGAATCATGGCAATTGAAGTGGCAAACACAATGGATAATTTCATTAGATGAAAAATTGCAATTTCTTTTTTGAAGTTTTGATGGGCAGATGATAGAATCCAATGCCATTGATGAGGAGGAAACCGACGACCAGGATTCACAAAGCATCAGTGCAGCTTGAGGAAGAAAACTCTGAAATGACTAAAAGACTAATGAGTTCAGTCACAGATAGCTAAAGCTTTTGGATTCATTAGTGTTTGGATGATGAATTTGTTTCTTTACTAGCTTGACTCACTTCCCATGATTTCTATCCTAATAGGAGGGAGATAAAGCATGTCATTGGCATTGGATTTTAGTAGTTCCTGGAGAGAGAGAGAGAGAGAGAGAGAGAGAGAGAGAGAGAGGAGGGAGGGGACGGGACG